ATCATGAACTACTTCTTTCAATAGACCAGCAGAAATCAGCAGTGTGTTAACTCCTGCCTTTCCTTTGTTTCCCTGGATGACTTTTGATGTTCTTGGTCTCTTTGAGTTCCAAATCAATTTTAGGAAAGTTTTCTCTAGCTCTGTGAGGTATACTAATAGTATTTTAATTGGGACTGCATTGAATCTGTATAACAATTTTAGGAGTATAACCATTTTCACAATGTTGCTTTTTCATATCCAGGAACAAGGAATATCTTTCTATTCTCAAATTCCCTTCAATCTCTTTTTTCTTTTTTCAAAATGAGTAAATGAGTATTGTAAATGAGTATTGTGTAATTTTCACTATACACATTTTTTACTCCCTTTGGGAAATTGATTTCTAAGTATTGCAATGTTTTTTGGTTGTTATTGTGAAAAGTGTGGTTTCCCTAGTTTCTTTCTCAGTGCATTCGTTGCTTGAGACACCCCAGGGATTTCCTTGTCTCTTATATAGTTTCCTTGTCTCTTACGGTTTATATAGTTGTGTACAAAAATGCTACGTGACTTTTGGGTGTTGACTTTGCATCCTGTTATGTTGCCAAATTTAGTGATTAAATCTATAAGACTCCTGGTGGAGTTTTGGGAGTCCTTTATGTAGAGTATCATGTCATCTACAAATAATGATAATTTCACTTCCTCTTTTTCCAATCCTTATTCTTTTTATTTCTCTCTCTTGTCTAATTGCTCTGGCTAATGTTCCCTGAACTACTGAATAGGAGTGGAGACAGTGGACATTTTTGTCTTATTCCTGATTTTATATTGAAGGCCTTCCATTTTTGCCCAATTAGTAAGATGGTAGCTGCTGGCTTTTCACAGTTGGCTTTTGTCAGGTTAAGATATGGACTATCTAGTCCAATTCTCTGTAGAATTTTATTGTAAATGAGTATTGGGCTTTGTCAAAAGCTTTCTCTGCATCTATTGTGATGATCATGTGGTTTTTGTTTTGGGCTCTGTTGATGTGGTGTATTACATTTATGAATTTGCATGTTGCTTTCCCTTTCAGAGTACCTATTGTGTCTTTCAGATTTTATTTATTCTTTCAGGTTCTTACACGAGGGAGACAATACAATGTTTGCACATGTGGGTCTGATATTTTTCACTTATGAATATGGTCTAGTTGCATCCATTTACTTGTATAAGCCTCAAGTTTATCTTCAGCTGAGCAATACTCCATTGTGTGAAATACCATATCTTTTTCATCCATTCTTCAGTTGAGGGGGATTGGGTTGTTTCCAAGATTTAGCTATGACCAAGTCTGCTGCCATTAGGAAGATATTTAATTTCCACATGTTTATGAATGTTTTGTGTTTTATTTTGCCAGTGGCTTACAATTTCATGGCACTACGGTCAGATAGCATGTATAGGATAAGGTTAATTTCCTGGAATTTAGTTAGGTATGTTCTATGGGCTAGTATGAGATCTACTTCAGAGAAAGTCCTATGCATAGCTGAGAAAAATGTATATTCTGGTGTTGTCAATGGAACACTCTGTATACATCTACTAAATTTATTTCTTCACAGTTTTGGTTCAGTTCTGATATTTCTTTGCTGATTTTTATGTATGACTCATCTATTTGTGACAATGTGGTATTTAGGCCCCCTATTACAATTGTGTTCATGCTTATTTGAATTTTCAGGTCCATTACAATATATTTTATATATTTGTGTGTTCATGTATTTGTTGCATGTATATTTATGACTGTTATCTCTTTTTGAAGCTTTCCTTAACAATATGTAGTAACCTTCCTTATTTCTTTGGGCCATTCTTGGTTTGAATTTCACTTTGTCTGCCTATAGAACTTCAACCCCTGCTTTGGTTCTTGTCATGTGGAAGATTACTGTACTTTGTTGTTTCCTTTGACTTGCAGTCTATGAATTTCCTTTAGAGTTAAATATGTTTCTTGTACAAAGTATATTGTTGGATTGTATTTTTTTATCTATTCTACCAGCCTGTTTCTTTTGATTGGTGTATTGAGTCCATCTGTATCAATGATTATAACTGATGTGCATTGGCTAATCCTCACCGCATTATTTTCTCACTATAGGTTTTCTGTCTTCCTCCTCTGATTGCTTACCCTGCCTCATGGTTACTTTCTATTGTTATTCATGAAATTATGGTCATTTTTGTTTTTCTAGAACATCTCTCAGAACACTCTGTAGAGCTGGACTAGTGATCATGAATTTCTTCAGTTGTTCTTTGTCATGGAAGTATCTTATTTCTCCATTCATTTTGAAAGATGGTTTTGCAGGAGATACATCAATCTGGGTTGGAAGATGTTCACTCTCAGCATTTGAAATACTCCATTCCAAGCTCTTGTTGACTTGAGTGTTTCCTTTGAGGAATGTGCTATGATTCTGACAGGCTTTCCTTTATAGGTAATCTGTTTTATTTCTCAAACAACTTTTATATTTTTTTCTTGCGCAGAATTTCTGGGATCTTGATACTTATATGCCTTGTAGACTTATTTTGTTCATAGGTAATTATGGTTCTATAGTCTACAAAAATTTCTTCTCCAGGTTTGAGGAATTTTTTGCCATTGTTTCTATAAACAGTCTCGTTATGTAATTTGTGTAGTCCTTTGTTCTTCAGGACTGTCTTCTAGTTGTAAGAGGTTCCTTGATTTTTTGTTTAAATTATTTGCATATTTGGTACAGGGTTTCATTATGCAATTCAGATTCATAGCAATCCTCCTGTCTCAGCCTCTCTAGTCTTGGAATCAGGTGTGCACCACCACACCCAGTTACAGTTGGCAGCACGATGTGCCTAGTGTGGGGCCATCTGGGTATGCAGTACCGGATCATACCTGGATCCTTGCAGTTGCCAGGCAGGCACTTAGATGGCCGAACTATCTCTTGATTTTTGTGTTCATCCAAAGATTGCACCCTCTGAATTTATTATGGGTGAGATGGTGATATCTATTTGGATCAGTCCCCAGTTCTGTGGTACTGAACTAGGAGATGTTCATTATCCCAGAACTTTTCAGGGGTTGCTATAGCAGAGAGAATGATTACAACAGGTAGGACTGTTTAGATGCACTAGTACAATAGAAATAACAGTGCCGTCAAGCATATCTTAGAAACTTACAAATGTGGTGTGTTAATTTGGTACCCTTAGTCGTAGCCGCAACATCTGCAGTTGTGTAATAGAACTCATCATAAATTGGGAGCTTATATGCAAACCATTTCGCCTTGATAGAGTGGTTTTATCCTATGGTAAGGATATTTAAAAGAGGTAGTAGATGAGAAAGAGCTAAATGAAGAGAAATATAGTAGAAGCAAAGCTGGGAGAAAAAGGATAATCTCCCAAGTTTTGGGAAACGAGAAATGAGAGAGCAGAAGTGAAACAATGAAGAACTAATCAATGGATTGTTGAAACTGTCCAGAAAGACTAGAGTGACTGTTCAGTCACATGACAATATCCCACCAAGCATGCAGCAGGAGTAGTGCTGGACGTGGGTGTGACCTCAGCCTCCAGACTGGGAGGAGCTGAGCTCGGAGTCTTTACCCAGCACTTTCTGTGTCTCCCAACCTCTCCTTACTATGTTTCTTTGTGTCTGTCTCCCAGTTGCTGGGTTGCCCTCAGGAAGACACAGCCCAGGGATTTTCCTTGCTCTTCCATAGTTGGCTCTTCTTGTGTAGTCTCTTGAGTCCCTCTTTTACTGGCATGTGTCTGTCCTCTCAGGTCACTTGTTGCAGTGTGAGGTGCTGAGGTGCGGCTGACTGCAGTTCAGTCTCAACTGTAACTCCTCTGGGGCAAGGGGGATTAATGCCAGTCTCCCTTTCATTCTTGCGTGTGGAGCAGTGATACTTAAATCCTGCATTCCTCAAGCTCCTGAACGCGGGCTGGCAGTGGTCAGGCTCTCACCGGGCCTCGGTGGCCCCACCCCACCCCCACCAATGCTGACTCACTGCTTCTCTCAGTGTTGCATTTCCAGGCAGGGTGCTGAGAGCGGTTCTTGTGCGTTGACTTTCATTCCTGCAGCTGGTTGTTTTCTTCTCATGCCTTGGTTTCTAAGCAGGTTTCTTATTCCCAGTGAATCTCACTAATTATAGAAACAGTAGCCCTGCTCTCAGTACATGCTCACAGGACTTGCTTTTCCTAAATCATCTCCTTTCAAGGTTTTTTTCTATGATCTGAAATAACTCTTTTGATTCTAATTTATTATTTCGCTCCCACACACTACAATATATATATTGTGAAGACAGATTGTTTAATCAGTATTTGCAGAGGTTTGAAGAATTGAAAGATTGAAAATGAAGAGGAATTATAGCACCCATCTTGTTTCAGAACTCAAAGGAGGACTATAAAAATCAAGTGAATGAAATAGTGAAAGAAACAATGGCACACACACTCTAGATAGCAGGGAGGCAACCCCCTGCTTGTTTACCCGGACCAGAAATGCCCCCACAAGCAGCCAGTTCTCAGGAAACAGCATGGTGTCTCTTTCTGGTTTTGCTAATAGTATTTTTCCTACCTTAAACAAGGGCAGATGTCAACCATTCTGACAGTGCAGTTTTTTCCTTACAATATTATTTATATGTAATTTTCTGTATACTGGATTTCAAAATATATTCCATTAAAGTCTATACTTAATGCGTTATGGCAAAATAAAAAATTTTGGCTTACGCATGAAACTAAATGTTAATGAATCAAGCTCCAAGAGAAAAAAATTCAATAGACAACCACTATCATGACATGAACGATGCCTAAACAGAGTAATATATCAGTAAATTCCACTCAAATGACCCTTAGCTTATCTTCTCATATTTATAAACATGTATTCCACCTATGATATAGCATCAATCAAATAAGTTTTGTTTTAAGCAGTAAAGAGTCAAAAGCCATAGCACCTATTTTAAGAAGCTCAATTAAACAACCAAAAGGACAAGTGCCCCAGAACATTTCTTCAGAATATATGACTGCACATGAACATCTGAAAAATTCGTAAATTTCAGACTTACCAAATGTAGAAAAATTTTCATTGGTGTACTGATCAACATTAATCTCCAGGGCTCCTCAAAATTATCTGGTAAAGGCATGTAAATATAATAGGCTACACAGACCCCCACAGTCAGAAGGTACAGTAACTTTCTTCCCATGGTGTAATTTCTATGCCTCTGTCTTCAGAAAGGTAGAAAGTAATCCTCCCAGGCTTGCCTGAATAATGAGTTTTAGTAGGCAGTGTGCTGTAACCCCACCCCTTTGCTTTCTCTTTGGAGTTTAGAACTACTTTTATGGCTACCAGAATAAGGTTAAAATTTAATTGCTTATCTAAAAATTATCACATAGATTATAACTTTAAGGTACATGTGTGGAAAACTGCTATACATTGTCATATTTTTAACTTTGTTTCTACTCTGAGGCTTTAATTTTAAAATCTTTAATTCTAACAAATTTATTCATAGAAATCATACAAAAGGCAAAAACATTTTTGACAGTGCAAAATGTAAACTAGAGAAACATACACACTTTTTTGCAGTATACTGAGAGCATAGAAAACAAAATAAAACAACTATTGTCTTTCACACTACAGAATTTACAAAATCATTCAACAAATAGATATTTTAGCATTTAGTTATGATGATTCTTGTTAGAGAAGTTATAAAAAAGTGACAGTAGCAAAGAGGACCACGGTAGTAGTAAATACTGTTCACTCTTCCATAAGGTAGGTCTTATGCTAAGTCATTTTTATAATGAATCTAAGTCACAATAACAAATATTAATACTATTGTTCTCCCATAAATGAATTAAATGAATTTTAGCAGATTAAGAACTTGACCAAGGTTATATAGTTTTGCGGTGAAAGCCAGAAAAATTTGGGTAGCTAATAGCATTTATAGACTTTTTAGAAAACAACTTTATTTCCCCAAGAAGGTGTGTGTGTGTGTGTGTGTGTGTGTGTGCGCGCGCGCGCGCACAGTGTCTCACTATGCAGCTCAGACTTGTAGTGATTCTCTTGATTTCTGCCTCCCTAATGGTGAGATCACAGGCGTGTGTCACCACACCCGGACTCCATCACCAGCTCAGCACACCCGGGGGCGGGGCAGCACGGCATGCGGTGCCAGGGATTGAACCCTGGGCCCTGTACTTACCTAAGCAAGCACTTAGTCAGCTGAGATATTTTGCCAGCTCTAAAAAACAGATTTTTTTTTATTTTTTAGGGAAGGGTCTACAAGGTGTTCAGGGTCTCACTAGGTTGGACTCGTAGTGATCCACCTATTTACAGCCTCCCAACAGCTGGAATTATAAGTGCGTACCACCACCGCCAGTCTATAAATAATTGTTTTCTTTTTCTTTTTCTTTTTTTTTTTTTAACAGTACCAGGGATTAAAGTCAGGACCCTGCATTTGACAGGCAGCCATTTATTCTACTGAGACAGTTTCAAATCAAATCGAAAGTACAGTTTCAAGAAATAATACACTGCGGGCCTGGGAGATGGCTCAATGGAATAAGTGCTTCCCTGGCAAGCGCAAGGGCCTGAGTTCAATCCCTGGTTCCACAAAAAAAAAGAAAAAAGAAATAATACACTGCATATATTCTTCTTAGTGGTTAATTGCTGTACAAGATGCAGACTTGTGATCCTACTTACAAACACCATTAGAA